CAAGTATGAGTTGATGGTTTGTGTTGGCAGGGCCTTTGCTTCTGCTGACAAGTTGGAAAAGAAAAATCCCATTTATATTTTGAGATTTCCTAAAGCCTGTTGATTTATGAAACACGACTGGCCTTGCATTAGGTTTTGTTTTGGTTTTTCTTTTTAAAATAATAAAAAAAAAATCACATTTGACTTTATTGACAATTTAAATAGTGGAATTATTCCATCACATTGCATTTCCCTAATTGAGAGATTCCTGGCAAGTTCAACACCAATTAATAACAAATTAATTATTTAAGTTATGTTTTAATTTCTTTTTCTCTGAGATGGAGAGAGTTCTCCCATCATAGACCATCTCATATACGCATTCCCCATGTGCCTATATGGCATGTAATGGCGTACAGTAGGCAAATACCAATGAGTCGTTCATGTCCAGAGCTGATTAACAGCAATGCGGATGTGGTTTAATTGCTGCTGACCACCAGACATGAGCAGGATTCAAACCCTGTTGAGAGGTAGAGTAAAATATTAGCTCAGGCTCAAGACCACACTGAAGCTGCTTCCAGTTGGCTTGGAGCCTGTGAACTGATGTCTGGACATGCTATATGGTATAGATTTTTTTCTTTTCCCTCCCTCTGTGCTACCAGTGATGAAAAGGACAGCCTCACAGTCTTAGATAGGGGTTGAATTGTCTCTTGTCTTTCCTGCCTGGCTCATTTGCAAGAGCTTTCTGACTTCCCCAGCATCAGTATGGTTTGGGACTGGGAAAAACACAGATGCCATGACTTAGATACCTGGAGACCAAAAAATATGTACTTTATATTGCATTTTTCCCAAATATTTATAAGCTTGGGAATTCTGGTAGTCTTTTGCCTGGTAGAGGTAATGGTAGAAATCCCACTGATTTCAGTACAAGTTGGTCTTAAAGAATAGCCACTTCTTGGGTACTCACAGAGTTGCTGAAATCCTTTTGGGGTTCCTTGTATAATTTTTGGTTGGGGAACTGTAGCTTTATCTTATTTAACATTATTGCCTCTTGAAAAATGGAAAAGTTGCGCTGTCTTGGTCTTTGGGGAACATGGGCTGACTCAGGAGCGTGGGAGAACCATGTTCAAGAGGAAGACACAGAAATGGTGTAGGAGTAACAGAGGCTTTTTTGAAACACCTGACAAAAGTGGAAGGAAAAAAAGTAATTCTGAATTTATTTTATTTGCATCAAATTTTTAGTACTGAATGACTGGTAGGTATTGTGCATCTAATCCTGCCACACCAAAAAAGACAGAAACCATAGCTTTTGACTAGGTACATTTTTAAGGTGCTGTGCTTGGCACTGATTGATGGGGAAAAATGCAATTGTAGGAAAAGAAAATTAGTCAAAAACAGAGAGCTGGCCAAGATAATTCATATTTGATACTCATTATCTTATTACAGATGGTCACAAAGCCAGGTGCTGATATCCTGTGGCAGCACTCAAAGGATACGTGTGCATTAAATGAAAAATATATTTTCATTTATGCCGAATCTGCGGATTTTTTTTACCATGGGATTGCTTCCCATGCAAAGGTGGAACTGTTCTTAAAGGCTCATGCTGTCGCTTGGGATGGGAGTCTCAGTGGCAAGGTGAATAGGTCGCCCTGGCTCTGGTGTGCTTGGTAGAAAACAAGATTAATCACTCTGCTATCTGTTCATTTGTCCATATCCTCTGCAACTAAAGAAAATAAGAGGTAAAGAAATGGTTATTTAGTTACTTTAGACAGTAGCTGGGTATACAAGGGGTGCATTGGAAACCTGGCATTAATGTGGCATGTTTTGGCTATGAACTCTTGACACCAAGATGCCGTCTTGAAAAAGAAAAAGAAAAAAAGAGAGAGAGACAGAGAGAGCGCTTTACCCAGTAAAAGGATACTACTAAGTCTCTCCCTTTCTAGTGTAAATAATTAAAGAAAATTATTTAAGTCATTTTTTTTTTAATGAGTTAATGTTCTAAGCAGGATAAAGTATAGCATTAAAAATAAAACCCTTCAGGGTTTTATGTTGGTTTTGAGTTGTCAGTAAAGGGAATGGTCAGGCTGGCCCATCTCAAACAGTGACTAATGGGCTTCTGCCTCCATTGCTGGTTCCAGCTGCCTCCAAAATTAAATGATTAATTGCACAAGGGAAAGACAACAATCCTTATTTGATTGTGCTGATTACAGAGTTGCTGGTTATCGGAGTAAAGGGAATACGTTGTCCTAGTTTCCTAAATTCTTCAAGGAATAAGGCAGACCTGAAAAGAATTTAGAACTGTAGGGTGTAAGGTTACTCAAATCATGGGGTGACCTGCTCGGAGGTCTCGCATACGTCACGCGTGCTATAGTGTATCCTGAGCTGTAGCTACAAGGGTTGCTGCGATAAATCAGCCCTGCTTTTCCTAGTGTGATCCATCATACAGAGCATGCCTGTGCGATGGGTAATTAATGTATCTTACCTGATTTGCCAAGGGAACTACAGAAGCTACAGATGAATTATCAGACCCTGATTCTTGGTTCAGATTGGTAAAGCAGGCTCCTGCGAATGCTGTTGCCTTTAACATCATGGGTTTCCAGTATAATTTTTTTTTTTTTTTTCTCTTGGAGTCTAGCTGTTCTAGTTAACAGTAAAAGGGTCATCTGTTGGCTTAGCTGAACTGACGCTGATGATGTTTTGTAGCAAAACTATGCAGTCAGCTTGGAATGAAAATGTCAGTTAACTGGTTAGGAGGTCAAAGATTTTGAGTTTCTTCATCATATCTTGCTAAGAATAGAATAGCTAGGGCAGCTTTTTCCTAATCATTTTACTTTTTATTTTTAAATCATCTTTATGGTGTCATTAACCTGCTTCTGGGTGCTTCCTCTTCCCTTCTTTTCTTTTTTTAGCTTTCTGCAGAAGAATTGTATGGAGACACGTATCGGTCTCGCAACAGTTGTAGTATCTTATCTTTGTCGCACTACAGACAGAAATAAAAAGAGCAGACACTTCCCATACACCCAAAAGACACACTAATAAAATACAGCCAGCTTTGGGCTGAAAATGATTGTTGTTTAGTAGTGTTTATAGACAGTATAGAGCAGTTTAGAGGAGGAATGGAGGAAGAATGCTTTGGCCAATTAAAAGTTTCATGGAATTCCAGGTAGGTAGATTGTAATTATTGCTGCTGAATCGTTGCCAGTGCTTAGGGATTAATGCCTTCATAATTTAAAGACAGGGAAGGAATTAGTAATGCGGTGCGCTATTCACTGTAGTGTCTAATTAATTGATGAATGCTTACAACAACCCCTAAGCGAATGCTTATCCCTAGTTTAGAACCGAGAAATGAGGTTTATAGGGTGCCCTTCTCGGGTCACAGTTACCCAACAAAACCTGATGTCCAGCTCGATGTTGGAATTACCTAGCCCCCTCCTGTGTGGTTGGCAGTATGTGCTCAGGATGCAAGTCAGACACTTGCAAGTTAGGCACAGAATATTAAATTCCTGTCTCTTACTGGACTTTCTACCTGAGCCCTGTCTGTAAGCCTACTCCATGCCTTCTTACGCCGTGCCAGCCCTGATGTGCAGTAGAGCAGTCTTTTTGCTCTGTGGTCCTACAGTTGCAGTTAAAATTACTAATTCCAGCAGCATTGTTGGAGATCATCCTACTTCATGCCATATAGTACCAGAAATCCTATTCCAGCATGCACAGACCATGGACAGCCATAGCACACTGCCTAGATTTCCTGGGCTGAGCTGAAAGAGCAGCCTTATGCCAGCAGCTCCCTCAACAGGAGGAACTGGAAAGCTATTCAACTTTTTGTCAACTGTTTTACTGTAGCAGCTCAGAATAATTGGGCAGGACCCATCACAAGAACCCACGCATGGCTTTTATTTGGGGAGTTGTCTGGAGTATATAGGGAGAGCGGTTTTTAGTCAGGAGGCAGCACATGAAGCCCAGAATTGGCTATGTGTCCTAGGTTCTTCCACATGTTTCTTGGAGCAAGGTGTTGTATCCCTTCCTAAACCCCTCTGTCCTCTTCGCATACTGTAGCTTAAAGCAGTGCCACAAGAGTGCTTCCTTCAGTGATGGGAAATCATAGAACCATAGAATTGTTTAGGTTGGAAAAGCCCTTTAAGCTCCCCCAGCCCAACCATTCCCCTACCCCTGCCATCCCACCCCCAAACCCTGGCCCTCAGCACCGCCTCTGCCCGGCTGTTAAATCCCCCCAGGGCTGGGGACTCGACCCCTTCCCTGGGCAGCCCCTTCCAGTGCCTGACAGCCCTTTTGGGGAAGAAATTTTTCCTAACGTCCAACCTAAACCTGCCCTGGCACAACTTGAGGCCATTTCCTCTTCTCCTAAATCTTTGAGATCCTCAGATCTTATTCTAATCTCTGAGATCCTCAGAGAGCAGGTGGTATTGCTGTAAAAAATTATTATTTTGGGTAGTAAAATGAGCTAAACAGGAATCCACTGGTTAATATATCTGAGCTTCATTCTGCTGCCTCACTGTGCAATGTTTAATAATCGATTTCAATACTGCAATGCCTCTTTCATCTGACAGAATTGATGCTTGCATCAGCATTCGGTTTAAAAGGTATAACGCACACTGCAGATCGTAATGAATACTTTCACTCTGTACCTTTTCTTACAAAAGCATTTCACCATGCTTTTGTTCATTACGGTTTGCCGTGGGTCCTCAGAAACGCGCACGTCGTGACTCCGCTCAGCAATGGCAATGCATCACTGGGAGAATGGAAAACACATAAAATACAAATATAATTTTGCTCTACAGTACAACACTTTAGAAGAGGAAAATTTTCTTTGAGCCATTGCTTCTTTTAGAGTATAGTGTGCTGCAATGACAAATATACAGCTTTCACGTTTCCTGCTCCACCCGACCATGACATTGTAAATCAGAGTTTTGCTTTTTCGTACTCCATCATTATTAAAACCTATTGTAACTTTCTTGTAGACAAACTCTTGAAAACCATGCATCTTCCTCTGTTTTCTTCTGTTACAGGGGAATTATTGTATTTGAAAACAAAAGCTACATTCTGGAGCCATTAGAAGGTGCTACGAGTGAACACAAGATCTACCGAGCAGAGAATTTGAAAATAGCCCCAGGATCCTGTGGCCACCAGCTGGACATCTCTGCCATGAGAGCTGTTGACAATGACACATCACACCATTCTCGAGCTGGCAGGGTAGGTGGATGATGCACTTTTCTGTTTCTGGTTTGCTGAGTACATCTCCCATAGCATTTCCATGCTACTGCCTACTAAAACCCTGTGTTACAGAGTCCTTGCTGAGCAAAACGTTAAACCATACAGTCAGCTTCTCTTGATGTCATGTGCTGAAGTGCATGCTTAAAATTAAGCGTGTGCTCACATGATTTGCTAAAGCTTTATTATTTTTTCTTGATCCTGCATGCATGACTTGGTTTTTACTTTCTTTTTGGTAACGAGATGGCACAGAAAAGTTAATGGTTTCATATTATGGTAATATGTTTTAGCTCACGTATGATTATAGCCAGAATATAAGACCCCATGAGAACACTGAGCAATGTCTGGAAAAGTTCTTGCCCACACAAATGGAAGAGAACACGATAGCTGCGATACTTTGCTAACATTAGGTTTTGAACCTTTACATTCAGTAGGAAAGTATCTTGTGCAGACAAAACAAATTCTCACTGTATTATTTTACAGATTTATTGTTTTTATGTAGGAAGAAATGCACTTAATGTGAAATGCATGTAGCTAACGGAAATTGTAGAAAAATAAATGAGCTAAAAACCAGGAAGAGGAGATACTGTAATAAGTTCATCTGAATATTGGATGAGGATTGTAGAAAAGTCTGGGCTAGGTGTTCAGAAATTATACAATGGTACAAATCTGTCCTCAGCATTTATTGAATGTCACATATGGGGATTTATACTTGCATGTAGCCTTTGCATCAGTTTAATTGTTAAGGAAAGCAACCTAAATGGCATCCCTAGATATTATTTATGTAGTGGAATTAAGTTATTTTACATTTTAGGAATACTAAATGTTACATCTAATCCATTAGCCTTTGCATATATGGGCTAAGCATATTTCTAAAAATGTGTGTAGGTTGAAAGCACTGGAAAAGTACTTTTCACAACTTTATTAAGGTTTCCTCAAAGCCTTTGTGATTTTTGACTGAATTTCACTGAAGTAATCAATGTAACACTAGGAAACTGAAATAAAATGTGTGCGTACAACTAGCTGATATAATCAAAGCAATTTTACTATTACCCTTATGGTTCTCACATCTTGTTGATGGCTTCAACTACGTGCCAGAACTCACCTTAAATATCTGAAAAATATTTTTGCTGTGGTTCAGTGGACCTAATTATAAAACCTGTCAACAGCCACATCATATGGATAGGTACAATATATATAATGAGTATGTTGGATACGCTTCTAATATATGAATTCTGAAAGTTGTCAGATGTAATGTGTGCAGTGAGTTTTCACATTTCAATGTTGTCATCAGCTAAAGCAGACTGTCAGGACATACTGAATAAAGATGACCTGCAAAGTATGGAGGCATAAGGCTGCTCTAAATTACACTGGGTGACAGAAGTAAGCAGAAATCTAATCTCATGTTCAGGGCATAATGAAAATTTCTGGCTTCTTGACAGGTTTGGGGCGAGCTTTTTGTTTAGTTTTTTTCCCCTGACCCCTCACTCGGCTACCTACACTAAATTCTTATTGAGCAGAGCTGAACCATGAGATCAATATATCACAAAGTTAGACTAGCCTTTGGGTTAGATTTAAATACAGATAAATGATGGGACAAACAGTAGACTCAGCTTCCCAGCTCCAAACATGAGATTTCATAGAGCAAGTCAGGTAATGTAGCAGATGTGGGCAGACACGTTTTGCCCTGCTGGAGCTGGGTCTCTGTCGCTACTGGGTCATTTCATATCTCAGTGGACCATCAAGTTGCAGTAGGGAGTGTGTTTTCCAGTTGAGCTTCATTGAGCTAGGATTCTACAGAAAGCAAACCTGATGTGTAAGACAGCCCCTACAGTACGACTTTTTTTCTGTAGCCACACAAAATAACCATTTTGGTGGTGCTGGTGGACCCCAGCTCAGCCAGATGAACCATTCAGGGCAAGTGGATCATGGAGAAAGAGAGAGGCTGCAACACTGCAGTGTGAATCCAAGCCTTGCCAATTCCCAGGTATTAGGAAGGGCTACAGTGGCATGGGACAGCAATTTTGTGATAGCACCAGTGTGGTAGAAGCAGGGGGGAAACGCAACGGTCAGTGGAACAAGGCATATTGTCTCCCATCGTGCATATCTATCATGGCTTTATTACTGACTCTTCGTTTTAATTCTGAAGGATTAACTCAGGCAATGGCTTGTGCATTGATGCAGTCAGCTGCAGAAAGCAAGCTGAAAGAAGTCATAATTAGGTATACTTTATAAATAAACATTGTATCCAAGGAATGCACATAGCCTTTGGGCAAATCACAGGAATGGATTCGTTATGCAAGTCAGTCACCAGAGGCTTACATGATTACACCCTGCTAGCCAATTTCTCTCAGGCTAACTCTCTCCAGCCCAAAGAGTTTTACTCTTGGTAAAAAGTAAATGGTTTAAACTGACTGATGTGAGAGAGGAGTTCTTATATCTTTGTATCTGGAATGTCTTATTTTTGCTCTTGGTTTGGAATCGCAGAATCATAGAATCCTAGGTTGGAAGGGACCTCAAGGATCATCTGGTCCAACCTTTCTGGGCAAGAGCCCAGTCTAGACGAGACGGCCCAGCGCCCTGTCCAGCTGAGGCTTGAAAGTGTCCAGTGTGGCGGAGTCAACCACTTCCCTGGGGAGATTATTCCAGTGGTTGACTGTTCTCACGGGGAAAAATTTTCCTCTCATGTCCAGTCAGAATCTTCTCAGGATTAACTTGTACCCATTACCCCTCATCTTTTCCATGTGACTTCTTGTGAAAAGGGTGTCTCCATCTTCTTTGTAGCCACCCTTTAAATACTGGTAGATGGTGATGAGATCCCCTTTGAGCCTCCTTTTCTCAAGGCTGAACAAGCCCAGTTCTCTCAGCCTATCCTCATATGGCAGGCTTCCCAGTCCTTGCATCATCTTGGTGGACCTGCTCTGGACCCCATCCTTCCAGGAAGAAGACTAGAGGCACCTTGGGAGTATGTCTCTGACCAGGACCGCATAATAAATGTCAGGTTTATGTTAGACTTTTAGTGTCTGGGAGATCAATTTCATCACAAACAACACCCACATGGTCATTTGCCTTATGTGGCATCTCACTCATGTCTGATATATTTTGCAGGGAGGTAAATCAAGCTCTGCCAGAGCACTGTGGGTTCCGCTGAAGTCTACTGAGACATGGCAGGCCCTTTGTATTGCATCTGCTGCTGTTCCAGGAGCAGCAGGAGGGGACATGGGGACTCCGTGCTGATGACCTATGTGGCAGACAAGGCGTGGGTATGTGCACCAAGTCTGCACACACACCATGACGCTGTGGTGGTGACAGTTGCCTCCAGAAAAGCACAAGGTGATGGAGAACCCCAATACCAGGAGAAGTTGTAAGAATATCTGCCTGAGCTCATTTGCCAGACCCCCTAATAAGTGTAATCCTGTGAAGTGTTTGTATCATTGATGTTTAGTTCATTAATGATAGCTTCCACCGCTTTCTCAGTTCATAAATACTGTCCAAATGGAACTTAACTGTTTTCCAGTGATTGTAGCTTGAGGCTGTATAACGCTATTAAATACGAGCTTGAAAGTCGGAGTTGCAAAAGGTTGCAACTGTTACTTTCCTTTAAACACAATGCTTCCTGCAAAACATTCAAAATGATTAATCTGCAGATAACAGAGGAACACTTGGGTAATGCAAAGAAAACTTTGTGAAATTTGGCTGGAAGGTGATGTCCAGCACTGACTTAGCTTAGGGGATCACACAGTTTGCTTTGGAACAATTTGCTTCGGAAAGCTTTAGTCATGTTTTAGGTTATAGAGAATTGGTTTTGTTGAAGGCATCATGGTCATTAGTAGGTCATGCATCTGCTTAAGCTCCTTAAGTTCTGGCATGAAGATCAGATAAACTGCTGAGACCTCTTTTCCCTGACTGTCTCATTCCAGAAACAAGGGAGGAATGATAGAATAGATGCTCAGCTGCTGTAATTCACAGAACTTACAGGCATTAACAGGTCACTTAAATTTAGGGTAGCAGAGGAGCTCTGCTGTGATTAGCACTATTTTCATTTTCTTCCGTGATCTTTTTGCAGCTAAGCACTGTGATTCTTTTAGATCTGCATTTAGAACTGCGAGTAGCGTGACCAGCTGTTTTATATAAGTATACAGATACAAAATTAAATGTATGCCTCCCGTTTCTAGAGTATTAGTTTGCTTCCCCAGACACTGACAGTTCATTCCAGTTTTTTCTGCAGTTTTTGTTCTTGGGTTTTTCTTCCTACATAATTTATCAGTTGACCACTTGATCTCTTCTCTGCTTCACTTAGTATCCCTTTATCTCTCATTTTTCTTAGTAGCCATTTTGTCTATTGTGTGAAATGTTTGCTAAAAGTCATCTCATCATTTCTTTAAATGCGCCTTGGAAATAGCGAAGGTCTTTCTGCTAGAGATTATATTCTTCTGCAAGGAAAGATAACTCAAACATTTCAACTGCAGAAAGCTGAAAGGTTGAGAGAGACTTTGTACCACTTTCCTGCTTGCTGTGATCAAATCCTGGTGGGTTTTTTTTTTTTTTTTTTGAAGTACTGCATAGACTATTTCTGTTGTAGTAGATAAAAAGAAAACTTCCATGAGGAGAAGAAATACAATAAACATTTGTATGTAGTGAAGTCTTTGGAAGTCTGAGGTGTTGTGTATCTCCTCTTGCAAGAGCTTTGTTGAACTGAGGCAGAGCTGATTCCAAAGGTCGCTTACTGCAAAACCAAAATATCATTTTCATCTTTTTCGGCAGTACAAGAGGGAGACTCTGAAGACAACGAAGTACGTGGAGCTTGTTATTGTGGCAGATAATCGTGAGGTAAGAAATTTAAAACTAAAAACTTATGGCAAGCACGGGTAGGAAGCAGGTAGCTCGGTTCAGCTACAATGGCATTGCAAGTAACGTGCTCCAGACAGGAACGTGATGGTTTTCAAAAGTAAATCTTCCCTAATTAGGGCTAAGCAGTGGAAGGCACCATGGTATTGCAAGTAACGTGCTTCAGACAGGAATGTGATGGTTTTCAAAAGTAAATCTTCTTCCCTAATTAGGGCTAAGCAGTGGAAGGCACTATTAAGATAGGACCACACTGATGGTCAATTGTAAAATTTCTTGCAATACTTCATAAGGAATTTGACTCTCAAATAACTGGGATATCTGGCAGTAATTGAAGAAGAGGCAAATACTAATTCACTGCCCAGGATCTCCTTGAGCTAGTTAAGTCTTCATTGCCATTGACTCTGCCCTCGTCAGGACCATCACTGTTGGGAAGACATGGTAGGATCCTGCCCTTGCCTTTGGAGCAGTACTTTGCCATCACATTGCATGAAGCATGACTGCCTTCCTGATGGTTTGCAAGGAGAGCTTCAAAGCGAGTAAATGGGACTGGCTGTAGAAATGTTCCAGTGAGTTGAATGGCATCCAAAGATCTAAATCTTGGTTTGAATTATTTTGCTACTTACATTATTTTTTGTCTCCTTGAACACAGCTAGTTAGGGAATTACAATCACTCTGCTGCCAGAGCCAAAACAGCTAACAGAAAAACCTTTTCTCTTTCACAAAACATCAGTCCCTGAAAGATCCCTGTATAAGACTTCAGGATTTTAAAATCTTTTTGTGAGAACTAAAATCGTGCTCCATAGCCTGTGCTTATTCTGAGGCAGACCATGGTCCTGTGAAGCCAACAGGAGTCTGCCTGATGGCCTTTGGTCACACTGTGTAATTCCCAAACATCTCCAACAATGCTGGCAGAGTAAGGTGGCTGTTGGGGGGAAACTATGATATTTGTGCTGCTAGTACATTGATCCTTTACGTTCCAAGTTTCAGAGACAAGGCAAGGATGTGGAAAAAATTAAGCAGAGGCTGATAGAAATTGCAAACTATGTTGATAAGGTAAGAACACGACCATTACTTCGCTTTTTCCAAACTCACTACATTTTCTGAAGGGTGTTGCTGTGAAATCTATGTTTCTTCTACGGGTAAATTAAAAAGCTGCCATGCTCAGATCAGCAGTTTTCACCACCTTTGCCACATCTCCTTATCCGCCCACCTTTTGAAGGAGGTAACCCTGCTGCTTTCCTAATGCTCTGGTATTTCAGAGCAATGCTTCTCTCCAACCAGGAAAACCAAAAAAGTAAACTTAAACCTTTCATATGCCCTTCAACATGCTAAGCTGTGAGCTCTGCTCTGCTATATATGGGATGGATATATCTGTGGAAGCACTGTTCCTAAGGAGATGTACAATTTAGCCCTAGGATTTTACTAACCTGGGAAGAGCATGGAGATAATCACATATGGAACAACCCATAGGAAAAGGATTATTTTGAGGAGGAATTTGGAGAACAAAGTCCTTTGCAGCAGCAAGGATTGGCCTAATGGTAAGGCCAACAAAGGGCCTGTGAAGACACGGTCAATAAGATATATAGCCCAGGCAAGATGGCGGAATGAAAAATATGCAGTGCATAAGGAAGCAGAAGTTGATGGCTGAATGAGAGCAATTTTTTTGTACTTGAAGTAATTTCTTGACAATAAATGCTGAGTCCTCTGCAGTGGTTTTTGAACAAATTAAAGTTTACTTTTATTGTGCTCTACGGCCAGAAAAAATTAGGAGTCCAGTAGTGAAATTATAACTGAGGGAGTCTTAATTTAGCTGACAACTTATCAAGTGATACTCTAAGGGCCATAGCTCAAGGAGAAGCATTCTTGATTAAAAACAAGCTGCTGAAGACACCTTCACCTCTTTCATAATTGTCTTGCTGACTTATTACTGGAGGACAGGTGTTTATATGTTACCTGCTCAAAATTAATTTTGCATGTTATAATATATTTATGTTTCGTGCTTAATTTATGCTCAGCAAATGCCAATGTTATCCAAATGACTGTAATGCATATAAACAAGACAAAGATCTAGTATATGCTTTTCTCTGACTGTCAGCCAAATCTGGACTTGATCGATTCTTGAATCCTTCTTCACATTAGTCTCACATTAGAATTGTTCTCTCCGCTCCATTGCTAATGCTGCTCCAGCTCCCCTCTTGCAGCAACTGTGGCATTTACCAGTGGGATGACAGTGGGTGTAGCCCACAGTGCTAAAAACACTTGGTTTTAGCTGCCGTGAGCAAGACACGATGACTCTGGCTGAGCAACCTGATCTAGTTAGCGGTGTCCCTGCTCACTGCAGGGGGGTTGGACTAGGTGACCTCTAGGGGTCCCTTCCAACCCAAAACATTCTATGATTCTATGAATTTTCAGCTACTGTATTAAACCACAACCGTAGCACAACACAGCTTCCTCTGCCTCTTGAATTGCTTTGGTGCTAGTGACAGAGGGCAGAGAGTCATCTGCCATAGCAACACATTTGTTCAGAAGTGAAGGACATGTGAAGGCAGTTGCAGTGTTTCATCTTGAAGGAAGATACCAAACTTGGGTGGGACATAGAGAAGTAGCGTATCTCTGGATGTCTTTGAGTGCCTTATAGGTATTTAGTCAGGTCAGAACTGTTTTCTGTAAGTCATGGAAATATTTTGTCTGAGTCAGTCCTGTCCGGTGTTAACTTTTGCCCTGGAGAAGAGACCTTTTAAGCCCCTTCAAGAAAGGGCCATATGGACATTATGCATCTGTTGAAATATTCTAATTCAGTGCGGTCTAAAATGGATTTTGAAGACATGTTTCTCTTCTTCTTTTCTCGTTAGTTCTATAGGCCACTAAATATTCGAGTAGCCCTGGTCGGAGTGGAAGTATGGAATGACATGGATAAGTGCTCTATTTCTCAAGACCCTTTCACCAGCCTCCATGAGTTTCTGGACTGGAGAAAGCTAAAACTACTACCTCGTAAACCCCATGACAATGCACAGCTGATAAGGTAGACTTAACTATTTTTAATATCGGCCAGGATTTCAGTGATTTGAGAATAGCTGTACTGAATTCTTCCCCAGTTGCTAAAGCCATTGGGAGGAACATCTGTGCTCCTGGGGGTTTGTCTTTCTCCCCTGCAAACATCAAACATAAAAGCATTTTGCAGAGCCCTTCAGCAGATGCTTCAGATTAATTTCTTTCCTCAGCTCTGCAATAGCTCTGTTACTTGTAGGCCTTTCCTGAATACAGCTTGTGTAGAAGTGTAATAAGCTGGTAAATACTTCAGGTATGAATTTACAAGTCGTTTAAGCTGGTCTCAGCCTAAATTGTTACTGAAAAGGCAGTCCTGCCCTCACCCCAAAAGTAGAGCTAGGGGGGGGCACTATGCAAAGCCTGTTGGTTAGCAGAAAGACTTCAGTAAACTTTAAAATGCAGTCTAAGTTGGACAATCTGTTTGCATTGGTGACTTAAAAATTAAATCATACGCATCTTTTACCCTGCTGCTGGTTCCTGGATTAAAGTAATTGAGTAAACACACTCAGAGTAAAAGCACTCTTAAAAAAAAAAAAAAGTAAGAGAAATACCTCTTTCTTGAACAAGGTATCATTTTGATCAATGCACCGGTCTTTATACTACACAGATAAACATACCTGACATCTTAGTAATTAAAAGGAGCTCTTTGCTCATTACCTAGATGTTCTTACATTATTTGTGTAAGATCTAAGTAAGCCCTTCCAAACTGTCCCTCATGAGATATTTGATTACTCTCTATGTATAATAACACTTTGTTTGGAATGATTACATTCTAGGCTGTGTATTATAACAAGTAGCATATAAACTTCCCACTGCATTAAAATAACCCTTCTTTGAGCTAGAGACATTATTTTTATGTTTGTATTTCTATTCCCAACTTCAGTCAGGGAAAAAAGAAGGGAAAGAAGGGTGCCTACAGCAGTAAACCCAAAGGAGGGTGACCAAACGACTCTTTCTCATAGCAGGGATGCTGCCACTGTCAGTTCGGCAAGTCGACATGGCTAATCTGTGCTTTTCATTGTTTTAAATCTGCAAATGCCTGGAGCTGGGATCTTTGTTTGAGATGAGCGGCAAAAATGCACGACTGAAAAGAATAGGGCGGTGGTACCTTGGCACTGAGTGGTGACACTGTGATTCTTCTTCTCCTTTCTGCCCTCCTGCAGCGGGGTGTACTTCCAAGGGACGACTATTGGCATGGCGCCCATAATGAGCATGTGCACGGCAGAGCAGTCTGGAGGGGTCGTCATGGTAAGTGGTAAAAACAAGGGACTTGAAATTGGCCCAACTGGTGCGACTCAATCTCAAGTACTGTAGTACTGTATTTTGCACCAGAATATCAGCCCCACTTGTCTCGTGTTCAGTTTCAATATTATCTGTATCTACATGTGCATTGCTTGTAAATGATAGTTTCCATAGAGGAAAAAAAAGCAAAATACTGCATTAAAATATAGCATGACTTCTTTGCAAGAATCCTCGCCTCCTAATTATCATTAAGTCAGGTGCTGAGGTGCTGTGAAGGATGAGAACCAGAAGACGTATTTGTTATGCTCTTGGGTATACTAGTGTTACAGGCAACAACAGTCTATCCTGAATCTTTTATTGTATTGATTTTATTCTGTATTTACAGAGTTTCCTGTGTAAGGCCTTGTTTTCCATCTTTGCAGCGCAGTGATTTTATTGCATTGCCAGACAATGCGAACAAACAATGGCAGCATTTATTCTACCTGAGCCTCTCTCAGAGATATATTACTGGTAATGCTGTTGTTAGATGCTAGACGTGGTGAACATACAAGTAAACATCTTACCCAATTTCTGGAAGTAGTCCTGGCAGATTTTCTTTCAGTTTTGGGGTTTTTTTTAACTGTTTTGTGCAAAAGCGGGGGAAAGAAGTTTGACATTAGCTAAGCTTTGCAATAGACATGCATTAGCTAAGCTTTGCAATAGACTCCCCAAGCTTGCAGGCCAGTAGCAGGCTCAGCTGGTGACCTCAGAGCTCAACTCCAGAGCAGAAAACCAGGGAGCCCTGAAAACCTCTTAGAAATCCTCCGAGTTCAGCCTGCACGTGCTGAAAACCTTTGTGTTTCCTACAGCTTTGTCTAGACTTCCAACACCTTAGGTGATGTGCTGGTGCTCTCCAGCTCTGCTGGACACCTCAGCTGCAGGTCCCTACATAAATGAGGTGGAAGGTCAGGAGCGCACAATGTTCAGAGTTTGTGTGATCTGAAAGCTCCCAGTTCTTCAAAGCTTCATGGGGCTAACCTGGAGCCTGGGACACGAAGACTTTTGCTTCAAGACAATCCATGTAGCAGGGTAATCCCAGAGATACAGCCCCTTGAAGCCCCTGCACTTTCCTTCTTAACGAGCGTGCAAGCTGAGGTTGGCCCACAATGCAGGGGTCCTCTGCGGTCTCTTGGACAAGTAGGCAAGAAGCCAAGCTGGGGTGATGTGTGCATTTGTGGAGGATGAGGTATAGATGGATTCCGACTGGGAGGATTTACAAGGTGAGC